GATTAAAATAATGGTACGAAGGCTATTTCTTTTTGACCCCTAGAAGTTTGCTAATTTCTAAAAACAGTGTACTATTTCACTGTAATAATTTATTAAGCACGTACAAATTATTGTGCTTGTGATCCTTAACACGTTAAACTCCAATTCATAAGTTTTCCTCCCTCCACATCTAATTGATAGACCGTATTGTAAACCAATTCTCTTGATTTGGGTGAAATTTTGCCCAATCAAGTGATCACATCAACTAATACTACTGAATCTAGTATCTTATTTCTATTAATCAAGTGTAGGTTGTAGCATTCCTGTCTAACATTTGAGTGATACAAAATGGGTTAAATAAATTTGATATTGGAGAAATTTTTTGGTTTTTGATCAATGACGATGTGCTAATTAAAATTATGAAATCCACCGATTTCAAATTAAATATAATTCAAATAAGATCGTGGACGTGCGATTTTTATTTATTCAATTAACAGCATCAGATCGGTCAACCATCAATAGTTGAATTTGTCACACAATTGATCCAGACTAACATTAAATTTTGTTGTTATATTATAACACCATGGGCAGAAAATTTTGCCAATTGACATCTATAGAACAAAGTATGGCAGATGCTAGTTTTGATTATTGATGACGTAAATGAAAGGCAGTCCTTTTCACAATAATTATCTTATAGAAACTGACCAGGCTCGCCAAAGGGAGATGGATGTGTTAGATATAAATAGTTTCATTATGTGTACGTAATCGTCTACAAAACGGGAAGCTGGCATTATCAAAATATGCTTAATGATTGAGATATTAGGTTGTCTTGTTTATGAATTTGCAAATTTTACTCTACGATCCTTTTCTTAATGTTTCTTCTGTCGTTTTGGCTTTTAGTGGATGAAGGTTTTCGTGTTTATTGCAAATTGTTCATCATTTGGTGACACCTCATTTAGGCTGTCCTTGTACTGTCGCCAAATTGGTACATCTAAGCACCATCATCATCAGCAATCAAGTCTTTAATCTTGACAGGCAAGTCGGACCAGAGGTTTCTGATATATTATGGGCATCAGAGGACAAATTCAGTAGCAAATCTGCAAGATTCTAGGTAATATATGATTATGCACCTCTGGGGTTGGCTCGGCTGGTGCTGGGGGAAACCTCTTCAGGTCCTGGCATCGGGTGGTCGCGGTTCGACTCCTGTTACCGTCTTGTGTCTTCTGGGGGTGGGGGCACAAGCGCAGTAGGATTATTCGGCCTCGGAACATTACTCCGTTGAATCCCGGATACCCACTGTGTCCCAAAAAAAAAAAAAGAAAAGAAGGTAATATATGATTATGCAGGTATATCTGTACAGTTTATATACCCTTCAATCTCGTCTTTCACATTTACATGTTACTGCACAGTTTATTGACAAGACTGGTATTCTCCTATGTGAAAGATGGAAGTTTTGGAGAGGCGGTGAGAAGGCCAGATAGAAGACCAACAATGAAGGCATTGTTATAAGTGGTCGGTTCTGCTTGGATAGAATTGTTCCTGGAATCAATGTAGGTGTCATTGAGAAATGGTCCACCAACAAGAGCTCCAGTTGCTATGTTTGGATTTGGAGATGGTGAACGAAGCCACTTGAACCCATCCTTGCAACCTGTATTAGCATCTGCCGGAATTGAAGCTCCCCTGTGATGTACATACTTGGGGTAGTCACTGCTATATCCAACGAGGTAGCTCATCTTCATTGGATTACTTCCCAGAACATAATTTGCCTGAATTAAGTTGATTGAAAACAAGATTACAATAGGAAATGGGAAAATCTAGAATCATGATCTTGGCGTGTCATGCAACAAGACTTTGGTTCTTGAGAGACTTTAGAAGTAATTTAACTGGGACCACCCTTTCTAGAGCTACTCGATGTGGCCAATTAATGCAGCTAAATCAGTTCTTAGATACTGTGATTAAAGAAAGAAGTACCTGTGAAATTGCAAAACTTCGCAGGTCCATTGGCTCGTATTGGTCTCCATTGCAATACAGGGTTGGTGTACCGGACCAGAACATGTAATCGCTATAAAGAACCGCCAAAAATGCCGAGGCAACAGAGTATTGTAAAGCGTTCCATTCTGTCACCCATATCAGCCCACCTACATGCGTAAAAATTGATGAAGTTTCACAGCTGCTTAATCATACACCTGAGAAGGTGGCCAGTGTTTGTGATGCAAGTTTAATTTGAGCCCTAGTACATACTCATGTCATTTATATAGGTGGCATTCACCTGGATTACCCCAAGATGGTTAAAATTGGTAGAGATACCAGAAATATTGTTGCTAGTTGCTACGGAACATTCATCTGCATCATGAAAATTCATCCTAAAGTGTAAAAAACTGCCCTTTAAAGATATCTTTTTGCTGGCTTTCTAACAATTCATTCATTCTCTTCTTGCTTGGCTACAAAGTTAAACAAAGAAGCCTTCACTCAATAATCATTACAACCAGATAGGTTTCGAACGATTTATTGTATCGTTTTTCATAAGATTTAGGCGAAGATTAAGGATTAAAGTTGCTCAATTAGTAGACAGAGTATCACCTTCTGTTCTATTAGGTGTTGCCAATGAGGAATAGGGGAGAAGGCTACACAGAAGAGCATCAGCAGTTCTCCTGTACTTCTGAAGGCCGAGATTTTCAGCATCAGAGGTATCGGCTGAACCAAAGAAGCTTACCCTGGACAGAAGAACCTGAATTGCACTAAAATCTAGTCAAATCATTTCCAACCCACGAGGTCATGGTTATCTTATAGATAACCAAGACAAAGCTACAGATTAACTATTAATATTGCACCACGACTATAGACTGTAGCTTAATTATTTCACTTTTAAACTTTCTATACCTGAACTCCAGCCAACTTGTTATCCCAGGAAAACCATGTCGGATTTCCCCAATTAGCAAAAGAGTTTCCATTTGCACCAGTAGTATATTTAAGGTATGACTGGTCTCCAGTAGCATGATAAAGCCAAGCAGCCGCCCACAGGAGGTCATCACCATATCCTGATGAATTGTAATACTTTTGTACTTGGGGGATGCTGATACTGTAAGAACCTCGGTAAGTATCTGCGAAACTGAACAATTGCTGAGCATGCTTCAGCAACATTTGTGAGTAGGTCTTGTTGATAGACTTGAACACTAACGAGGCAGATGCCATAGCCGCTGCGGTTTCTGCTGCAACCTCAGTTCCTGGATATGAAATGTTCACTTGTATGAGTGGCCGTGCTTCTGTAATGGCTTCTGGCCTCTCCCAGCAGTTGTGATCCACCTCAGGATCACCAACCTTTTATTGTCATTTACAGCATTCAGAGTTAACATTCCATTCATGCTTGACATAATGGAAACTAAAGGCAGAACAAGACTTATCAGGGATTACAACAATAATATTTTCATCAGCAGAGTGACAAGCCAACTTCAGAACTGAATTAACAAACCTGGATGAATAGCACATTGTCAGAAGGATGTGCATTTATGAGATAATCAGTTACCCACTTCAGGGAATCTTGAGCATTTTTCAACTGTTTCATTTCTTGCATATGTTGTCCATATTCCAAAATGGCCCACGACAACATTGTTGCAGTAAATGCCATCGGAAATCCAAATTTCATGTCATCCCCAGCATCATACATCCCTTTTGATAAATCAAGATTTTCTTCTCGTCCATCTTGCAAACCTGAATCTCCCCTCCAGGCTATCTTATTATCCACCAATTTACCAGCTGCATTAAAAATTTAAACATAAATAAAACAATAACAAGCGAATACAAAAATACATGCACGAGTGATGGGCAAAGCAAAATCAACTTAGCTCATAGTACATTTTTGAACCTCAAAGAATTGCATAGCAACCCCGAGAGCATTAGCATATTTTTCATCAACTACTCTTGGTGGTCTAGCAGGACGGTGTTGAGAACGCCTCGATCTGTGAACATCATACCATAGCGTAAATGCACAGGCGAGCAAGACAAGGGCTGCAAAAAAAATCACGAGCAGCATCCAGCTCCATCCTTTGGACTTCGTTGGTGAATCTGGTGATTTTGCTTCCATTCATTCAATCTCAACTACCTGCAACTTTCCTTTGCGTGTCACATATATATATATATATATATATCCTGGAGGGGAAGTTCATATCAAAGCAACCATGATTATGATCAGAAGTTTGAATTAATCAATCTTGGACTGAGTAAAAAAATGGTTGATTTCATGAGTCTCTTCTAAGATATATGTGCCACAAGGATTGATCAGATTAAATATGAATTCCGTGCCGGTGGTTGATCCCTTTTTTGCACTAGGACAAAAGCGGACTGCTCTAGGGAGGAATACAGTACTTATCCAGATTGTCTCTATGCATAAGGTGATAAAGGGCATCCCAATCTATTGATACCATCCTTAAAAAATAATCATAATAAAAATGAAAACAGATACCCTCATAACTCATACATAAGTTGCTAGTAATGGTACTATGTCAATGATTATTAGCTCAGTTCAGCTGCACTCTTGGTGAGTTGCTTTCATAGCTATAGCTCTCAAAGCAGTCCTTCTCACGGCGAGAATATTTATGAGCATGATAAGATGGATTGGCTACGCTCAAAAGTTTCTCAAAAAACAATCTGCTTTAATCAGAATATTTTTGCGTTCATAAGATGTAACCTTTAGACATGCATCATCCATAAAGAAAATAGAATACTTCTCTTGAAGCTAAGTTATTAAAGCCTGGAGCATTTGATTAATTTGGTCAACCAACACAAACAACTTGCATTGTTGGATGCTGGAAATCAACCCATCCACTTAAAATAAAAATTGTAATTCCACGTAGGTAGGATTTGTCTGCCATTTTGATCCCATCTCCCAATTGATGAGTGCTACTACCAAAATTAACCATCACTGGGTCGCATAATTTTTTTCATCACTGGGTCGCATAATTTTTTTTGTCTTTAGCAACAAACACTAGTTCAGTTAGGTTGTGAATTTTTAAAGTTTTTGGATGATGATTTTGTATGCAATCGCGGTTGGCTTGCGTTTCTTGAAATATTTCCACTTCGTGGCTGCATTCTCGGTGCGTGTGTATGACAATGGATCGATAGGTTGCACTAACAACAATTATGCACCAAGAGAAAAGTGCAAAAAAAGCGGGCAACCAAAGGAGATAGCAGCAATGCCAGCTATGGCAATCCCTGGAGCTTCTGTCCCAACTTATCCAATTTATTTTGCCAGGGCACAAGGAGGACTCGATCAAAGGATAAACAACGGATTGTTGGGGAATGGATCTCTCCAGCAGTCACTGCCTTTGAGCTCTAACTGGCCTTTTGCTGGGACTGATAAATTTGGTCTTCAACCAGCTGCTACTTGGCCGGTGAATGGGATGAATACTTCTGGTGTTCTGCATGCTAGCCAAGCTAATCAACTAGTTTCTGCTCCAAAAAGCTGGCGCAGTGGTGACTGGATCTGCAGCTGTGGCTTTCACAACTATTCTTCTCGTGCACAGGTCTGACAAATCAGAAAATGTTTTAATATTTAAACTTGTTCTTCCAGATGAAGTGACATAGATCACACATCTGAATTTTGTGAAGTTGTCCTGTAGTGCAAAAAATGCAACACTCCAATGCCAGAAGCTGCACCTTCTTCTTTTGTCAGTATAGCAATTACAGGTTCGTGGATTGTCTTTTTTTATGTACTAAGTCTCTTAAACATTCACATACGGACGTGAATGTTTATTTCTTTGTTTTCTTTAATTGTGGCCTTCTTTTCCACCATTTCCATAACAGGTCCTCCTTTTATTTTTTTGGGGAGGGAAGGGGGGGCAGTGGTTGGGGGGAGCTGTATTGTTTGCTTATCATTTTGGGAGGCTCCAATGGAATGAAAGTTTGCAACGTTTATGTTCCTTAATCAGATAGTTTGAGTCTGTAATTGATCTTTGAGTTTGAGTCTGTAATTGATCTTTGCTATGCTATTTCATGGAAGCTCATGGAACAAAAAGACTAGCTTCTGAAGAACTTGTTCACGAATGGGATAGCAAGACACTGAACGCTGGACACCAATTTCTTTATGGGGTTTCAGATTGTGTATTTGATTCTAAATTGTAGCTTTGACCTTCTTTTATTTCTATAAATCTGATTTGCTGGTTATGGGTTGCAGCCTACATATTCAGGACCTGAATCTGTTGTCGGTCCTAGTGGCAGTCAACCATCTCTCATTTACTCGACCTTTCCAAGTGCAAAAGTTCAGCTTTGGGTCCAAATTTGCAATTTAATCTGCAGGTACCAGCAGCTCCTACTCTTCTTGGCGAAGGGTAATGATCGCTTCTTTGGTGCTTTGTTCATATTATGTGGAAGTTGGCAAAGGAATTTTTTTTTTTTCCTGGATGTGTTATATTCATCTGGGATGTGGTTATATATGCTTAACTTTCTCTTGTTCCTCACTATTATGTCATTACCTTTCATTGTTCTGTCCTGCCTTTCTTTGAACAGTCAAAGATTCCAAAATGAAAGTAAGTATTGGTCAAGCTACCTTCTGTGCTCGTCTGTCTTCTGACTTGGAGAATCAGATTTAAATATGTAAAACAGACCCAGTTGTGGCTTTTCTCTATGAATCAAACATTTTTTTCTGAGCAACAAACAGATTCTTGTATGGAGCATTAAGCATATTGTATCTTGGCTCTTAATCTTTTCTTTGGTGTTTGACCCCCAAAGGACTAAAGACCGACTTGAGTCAATAATGAGGAGGAGAAAAAAATCACTTGAAGTTCAGAAAATGGTCACAAGAAATGTTCGAAAGAAGTGCCATCCTTGTAGACTACACCATAAAAGAGATCTCTAACTTCAGGACATAACTTTCAATCATTTACAAGCAACTTTCAATCTAGTACCAACCAAAGGAGTCTCTGAGGCCATCCCACAATATTAGATATGCTAGTCACTCATTGAAATTCAACATCAGCACTTTACATAGCCCTGCATATCTATCTGCTTATGCTCCTCAAGAGTGTTAGAATGACAGCCACTTTATCAGCAGAAAGTGTAACACTAGTACTACAAAACTCAAGGCAATACGTTGATAGTCAATATTGTGACCCTTGAGGAAGATATCAACTTGTGTAAGGAAAATGAGAAGAGATGTATAGATGTGATGTCCCTTTTAATCAATAAATTTAACTTCTTTTTATTTAATCGTTTTTAAGGCAAGAATGAACGAATGACAAACTCAGAGTCGAAATACATTGGTGCAAGGAGAAGAAGTCAATTTTACCTGTAGATTGGCGAGTTCGCTCGTTCTATCGGCCTTGGGTTCCAGTCAAACGGAGAAGGAGAGGGGCTCGGCGGCTCAGCGGCGGAGGAGACTGAAAATGGGTGGAGCCAAGGAGGGAAGTGGTTGGCCGAGTTGGTCAGCAAGCAGGGGCGACGGGGCTGGAGTGGGTGACTTCGTTCGCTTCGTTTGAAATAGGGTTAATTACATTTATCCTCCCTGAGGTTTGACCAAATAACGAATCAGGCCCTGAAGTTTGGCCAAACTAAAAAAGATCCGTCAAGCTCAAAATTCCATAACAAAATTAACTAGATAAATGTAATTGGATTGATTCATACATGAGCTCCTATGTTGGGAAAGTTATTTAAACATATTTTTGCTGAATCTAGATATGGTTTTGAAGAAAAGAAAAAGAGACTGCCCGTCTATGGAAGATGATGACCAACTCTTTCCTTTCCTATTTTTGATATAACAGAGTAACGCTCTTTACTCTTTCTTTTTTCTTTGTATCATTTTCCTTGCACCCTTTTTTTTTATAGTACTTGGTCTTGTTATTCTTTTATCTCTTTCTTCAATGTTTTTTCATGTGTTTCACCATTTTTTTTCTCATCTTTCTGCTCCAATTTTCTATATCTTTGTCTTATGTTGGACTAGTTTCTCACTATTTCTCACTTTTTATTTGTCAATATAACGCATGTGAAGTGAAAAAATAATTTAGAAATACGTAGAGAAAATATTCCAAAATTTTTGTGAAAACTCACAATCCAAATAAAGACTTTTCTTTCTTTTTGGCTAAAATATTCTATTTATTGAATTTTAAATTTTATTTTTTTAAATCTTTAGAACTAGGGCTTTTTCGTCATTTCACAACATCTATTAACGGAGTCAAGGATCCATTACTAACAACGGCATAAGAGTTTTTTAATCAAACTACAAGATTTATTTCGTAATATGAACAAACCTTAGGGGAGGTTTAATTTGGTTAGGTAAATATTGTAGGGAGGTAAAGGCTATTTGGTTCCAAGGCCAAGGCAAGTTACGTATAAGCTACCAAGCCATGTTATTTGGAAGGTAAACATTGTATACATAGCCTATAAAATGATAATGGCTGTATAAGGACTCAAAATCCCACCACAACAAGCCTTAACAAAAATGAGCAAATCCTTATGGCTGAGTTTGGCCCCAATAAAACTTCAAGTATTTTTTTTCCCTACAAAATAGAGGATACATACATTATAAAATTCAAGTATTTTTTTTCCTACAAAATTTAAATATTAGTATAGGATAGAATAACCCATCTTTAAAATACAAAGAGCAGGTGAGGCCCCAATTTTCAAATCTTTGTGGGTTTTTGATGCAATAATTATTAAACCAACCTTTTGTTGTGGGATGAAAATTTAGGTGTAGGTTAAACCCAACAACATTTTTGGTTCAGGTTTAGGTTTAGCTATTGTCATCACGGTTAAGAGTTAGGGCAACTAATTTAGTGGAAATTTGAATTAGGTCATAGGTAATTCAAAGTCTTGTAAATTCACATGTAGTTATATCTAATTATCTAAGAAGGGCATTCAAGTGAAATAGTTTCCAAGAAAAGTGCTTATAAAGTTATGGTGCATAATACAAGCTGCACAAGGGGCAGATTTAGTGCAGCATTTTATGGGAAGGATGCAAAGATTTAGTACAGATGCTCTATTTCTAAGGTTTTTTCTGACTGCTGCTATTGAAAGTGCGTCCAAAGTGGTGGTGGTTTATAGAAAAAGTACAACAATGGACAAATTTCAGAAACTAAGAAAACTTGACCTCTCTCTCTCACATCATTTTTCTCTTCTGACCATAAAAATCATAACTCAATGATGTAGTCTGAATTTCAGTCTTGCCATCAGCTTCACTTTCACTGTTTACATCTCTACAAATAACCAATATTACCCCTTCAAATCTGCAACCAGCAGAGCAGATCTTGCTTCAATTCACAATTTCACATGCTACAACTAACTCCATTGATCGGCCTAGGAACAAGATTGCATGAGAGAAATTACAGCATTTTAATGCTTGCTTGCTACTATTATTGTGAATTTAAGATGATCCCACTTTGCTTAAACAAAATCATTGCATGTGAAATGTGTTAGGTTGTTTAGCCTGAGCAAGCATTTGGACTACTTCTCGCATGGTTGGCCGCTCAATGCTATGTTCTTGAACACACAGCATTGCAACAAAGAAGACCTGCATTGCTTCATTAAGGGGAACATTTTTAAGCCTTTCATCTAGGATCTTCACCACCCCTTCTTTGCTCCAATTTGTCAGAATATTTGCCCACTGAACGATATCTAAACCTTCTTCGCCAAAGTTGCCAACGGGCCTTCTACCTGTTATAAGCTCCAAAAGTACCACTCCAAAGCTATAAACATCACTCTTTTCATCAACTTTCAAGGTGTAAGCATACTCTGTTAGGTGAAAGGAACAAATAAAGGCCAACCAGTTAGTAGTAATATACGAAAAAATCAGGAAGTATAATTCGCAGAAAGTTAAAAAATTTCAATAGCGAAAGGAAATTCAACATGCAAATGTATAAAGGGTAGCACCAGTCTTTTACAATATGCCTGAGTCACTATTCTCTTACACTGAAAAGCATGGAATTTCAACCATCAGTGGATGAAAGTGACGGCATGTGTTTCATAAAGGGAAAGGTGACTGTCTGTATTTCTTTTTATCTTTCTCTTTATGGGTCTTGGAGAAAGTGAAAGCTTAGATCCCAATTAGGATTCCGAAGTTGGGATTCCGAAGGAGGAATACTTTGGATTCTTGTACATTTTCATGGTTGTTCAGTTTAAAGTAGAAAACTTGCTTCTTTGTCTTCGGTACCTGAATGAATTCACATTAGAGGTTTTCAAGAATCAGGAGCAGGATAAAAGCTATGGAAGAATTTTCCTTTAAGTCAGTGGTAATCTTGCTTTTCTTGGAATCCACTCCTGTGCACACTACTGTGGTAATCTTGCTTTTCTTGGAATCCACTCCTATGCACACTACTGTGGTCCAAAGGTAAGTATATATCGTCCATGGATAATATACCATGGAATTATGAGTAAAAGAGGGAATATCAAATAAGGTGTTATAGCTTTCGGTTCAGAGGAGAACTAGATTTTTAGAAAAAGACTAGATCTTGATGATATTATGAAATAAAAAGACTAAAAGAACAAGGATCTGAAGTATCTGTGAGTGATGCTTAAATGCTGAAATTTAGATTGATGACATTTGATAATGAATTAAAGAAAATACCTGGAGCAATGTAGCCGTAGGAGCCTGCAATTGCAGACATGCACTCTGATGTTCCATTATCTTGCAAGAACTTTGCTAGACCAAAATCTGCTACATGAGCCTCAAAATTAGAATTAAGCAGGATGTTGTTGGACTTCACATCGCGGTGAATAATTAGAGGGGAACAATCATGGTGTAGGTAACAAAGGCCTTTCGCAGCTTCCATAGCTATTTTTAGCCTCGTATCCCACTGCAGATATATTCCAGTCTTTCCATGAAGAACTTCACCTAAGCTTCCATTTGGCATATATTCATAGACAAGCAAGTTTGTCTCTTTATTGGAACAAAATGCCAGCAACCGGACGATGTAACGATGTCTGATCCTCCCCAGTGTTTGAATTTCTGCCGATAGGCCATGATCATGAGACCCTTTGCTTATTCCCAACCTTTTCACTGCTACTTCCTCTCCATTTGGCATTGTACCTTTATACACTATCCCTGCTCCACCTCTGCCAATGATATTGTGCTCTTTCAAGCACTCTAATATGTCCTCGCTTCCAAATTCTAGCTTTTGAAATGCTGTCAGCTTCCAGGACTTTGAGTG